TACCCCTGTTAGGACTCCTGTCTGTGTGGTTTGTGTTTTGTGTGTTTGTCTTCCTTTCTCCACCAGGTGGCGCCTGGTCCTGGTTTGCCTCCTCTCACACCTGCGGAAGGTTACCTTGTTAACGGAGTGCTCTTAAGCTGCTGACTGCCACTGCCTCGATGCCAGAGTGTTTGCCAGTTTTGGGAAGTCATCCTACAATTGGATGTTTAGGACCTTCTCTCCCCTGGAAGGATCTTCTGAGAAACAAGCTGAACTGAGGATTCAAGGGTGTGATTCTGATCAACCCATTTCCCCAAGGAACGTCTGGGGCTTCTCTCTGAGCAGGGGATTCATCACCACTACAACCCATTCAAGTACCGTGGGAAATCTATATGGCAGTCAGCTTCTCCGTTCACCTACAAACAACCGCATTCTGGGTAAACCCTGTCCGCCCTGCATCGAATAAGACTAACACTGGAACACCACCACACCGACTGGAGTCAAAGAGTCAACCATTTTCTGGAAACGTGAATCTGCAATCTATTTCTCCAAGTTTCAGAATCAAATTTTCAACTGAGCCTGAACTAACCGCAGTGTCTTCCCCTCACTTTCCAGTTCCGGTTGAGCCATGTTAAGAGCTACACTGGATTCATCACAATCATCTCGATAAACCTGTTAAACTTTCCCCTGGTCTCTCTGTATTGGTTTTCTGCATGTGGGTCCGAGCTCTTGATAAAATCATGACAACCCCATAGATTAGGGCAGTTTGGGACTCCTTACATATATGTGTAGGAATATCGGCACTGATTACTGTACTACTTGCTCTACCTACTTAAATGTGTTATAATCTATTTCCAATCTAATGTGATTCTTATATTGTTTTAATGTGGATCCGCTGTAGAAATTAATTCCCAGAGTGTAATTGAATCAATGGTTTAAACCCTATTACCAATTTGAAGCTGCTAGTTTCAGGTCCTTCTGAAGCCCTCCTCAAGTCAACAGGAAACTATTTTGAGACCAAAGCAAATAAACAACCTCACCAGTTGAAAAGCTTTTGTAATGATAAGGTTGTTAATATTTTAAGAAACTCCTTGTTCCCATCTTAGAAAGTTTCTCACATGAGCTCTTCATACAGACCAAGAGCTCGGACTAAAGTAGCTGATATACTGATTTAAAATATGTGAATAGGTTGCTTTGTAATGGTTCAGTTTGCATTGTGACATTGTTGTTTTTAAAGCTTTTTTCCATGTGTGGTTTAATTTTAACTGGAAGGGTTCAGTGGCAGAGCCAAAGGGATAGTCGGGGTGACAATAGCCACCCCAGAACAAATCCTTGCCCCCCCTGTTGCCACAGCGCTGAAAACATTAATACTGTCTGAATTTTATGAAGATTTGCAAAGAAAATGGTCAAATTTCTCAGCGGACTTGTATGCATCCTCACGCAGAACTCTTCTGCTATACTTTTAATTGCTTAAGCTGACCTACAGGTCCTTCATGCTCCAAACGGCTACAAAACAGAGTGCGGCAGCAGCACACAGGATCAATGAAAAGCATTTCCTATCATACTCCTAGGTCTGGGTGCAGGACGTTTTTTTCCTTTCTCTCTCCTCAGCAGGGCTTGATGGGCAGGTGCTCTTTGTCTGAGGTAAGTATCACCCTTCTTAAGCAGCTGGAAACAGGAGGTTGGCTTCAGTTCATTAGTGCTCCTGCGTGATATAAACTGATCCTTTACCTAGCCTTGCTTTCTAATTTACCCCGATCCTAACCCCGCTCTCTGTTTGCTCCTTCACAGAACCCTGGATCCCAAGACTAGAACCGCTTTTAGAACTCACTTCACTCTCGACTTCACTCTTAAAACCCTCCTGCCTGAGCTCACCTGCCTGTCACCCTCTGACACCACCATCGGATATCACCAACCTGACCTGCAACATCCGCCCAGACCACTGGACATCATCCTGCCAAAACAGACGCCAAGTCTCCTTCTCAGTGAGTTACATCATTCAAACCAGCACTAACAAGTTGCTCACCTGTCACCATTCACCATTCAAGTCAGATTTAGAAGACCTTAAGCATGAGCTTCATCAAATGAGAGGTCTTCTTTTAAGAAGGGAGAAAAGTGTTATGATTCTGGCCTGTCTGCCTGCTCTGCTCTCCCTGTGAGCAATCATCTCCAGCTGCTGCCTGCTGCACTGCAGTGCAATCAGCAGAATGTCTCTCACCTGTGTTCAAGCAGTTATAAGACAGCCTGTGGCATCCAGACAGGGCCAGATAACAGCAAACCAACTAGCAAGCAGTTTCCAGCACTTAAAGTTACCTGACCAAGTCTTTGCTTCACGGATTTTCCCTTTTTGCCTAGCCCTTTTTGGATTTCTCTGCCCTCTGGACAACGACCCTGTTTCTGCCTCTTTGACTTCTGCCTCCTGCCAAGCTCCCTGTTCACTAAGCCTGAGTCTGGCTTCCTGGACCTAATTCCTGCCTCTGTGCTCCAAGCCACCCAACTGTTGGCCACCCAACAACAGTTTTAAGGAGCAATCTGCTCTATTCAAGCTGCTGAAGGGAGAACTCTTTTAAGGTTAGTGGTTTTGTTGGTTTCATGCTTTTCATTATTTGAACTCCTTCAAGCCACTAACCTTAATCTCCCTTCTTAGAAATCCCTGGCCCACGGTGGATGTGCTCCTGAAGTCCTGAGTTTTTAATAAACTGTGTTCTGGCTGAAACTTTGGGTCTTCTGACTGGATCATTACAAAAAGTGGAGAGAGACCAGTTTCTATACTTGAGTTTGTTGTGTTTTTGGAACCTTACAAAGAGGTTTTCATTAACTTTTTAGGCCTAGTGAAATTGTCCTTGTGATTCCAGTTAGCACTGCAAAAGACATTTCTCTGCGCTTAAATTAATAAAAACCCACCCTAGGACAACAATGGGAGATGATAGATTAAGTCACTCGGACAGTTTCTCAATATGCGTACTTGTGTGTTCTCATGTGCCTGTGTACTTGTGAAACGTCATCAGTCTCAGCCCTAGCACTGTTCCAATTCACAAGACAAGCAGACTGAGATTTGACAAAGTTCCCGGATGTTGTTCTCGCCCCTCCTTATTCACAGAGTATGAATCAGAGCAGACTTTTCAGATCTCGAGATTCAATTAAATTCAGTTTATTTTTATAGCGCCAATTCGCAACACATGTCAACTCAAGGCACTTTAAAGTTCACCAGATCATCCAGTCAAATTTATTCGAAGTTTTCTATCTAAGGAAAATCAGTTGATTGCATCAACTCATTGACTCGAATGCAATCCACACTAAGCATGCTTGAAGTGACAGTGGACAGGAAAAACAGACTAACAGCTGTCCCAGCATGCACTGCGGCAGCAGCTTCCAGGTTAGTGCTCACAGAGCTCAGAGTATTTAGTTAAAAGTTCTCTTTCTGTTGCTGTTGTTCAATAAAAGTACATTTTAAGATAATTTGAGGCGAGGACATTATACTTTTAAGCGTCACTATATGGCCCATTAACCAATTTAATGCGTAATTTCAAAAACTATTTCCAAAGCTGAGAGGATCACTGCAACCAGTGGACCTCTGAGGGTAACGGCAACCAGGTCTAATCCGCACCCGTCTGCAGTAGCCCTCTCTTGGCATAGTCGTGTGTGACGGACCGCTGGCTCTCATGGCGAGTTTTTTGTTTAATTTGCCAAAATATTCATTTGTTTTGTGTTTATCTGACTGTGTCGGCTATTATTCCCCCACTAAATTAAAAAAGTAAGAATTTATTATCATCTAGAGACTATTAATAACAGGAGCTGAATTACAGCTCCAGACGAGCCGGGCATGTGGTGATGTCATCAGTATGCATCTGTTCCAATTGACCCATATTTATGCTGCATGCTCCCGTTCTCCCCAAATCCACACTTGCCTGTGTTCTTCTCAAGAACATACTTGGCAAGGACACAAGTCCATACTCGCGTTCTTGTGAATTGAAAAATGGCCTCAGTGTTGAGTAAAGGAGGGCATATTCCTTAAATATGGAAGTCTCTGTAAAACATTTTTGCTTCAGCTCACCAGAACCATAGAGTTCTGCTGTTCTGATTGCTTTATGAACTTGTTTTCTTATCATTGGGCATTGGTCAACTATATTCAGTTTTAAAGAGCTGTATTGTTTTTTTTCTATTATTATTAGTCTTATGGTGCAGATTTAAATGTCTACCCCTGCTTGTCCTGTCTTGTTTTGACTGGTATAACTTTACGTCAAATTTTTCTTTAATATTGGATTTCATCAGTCCGTGGAGCACATTAAGTATTTGTTTATTTCAATTTCTCCTGTATACTTAATTCAAAATACATTTTGCGGAACATAATTATTGTTTGTGGTCTAACTGAACCCTTAATATATTGACCCCCTGAATAAGACCTTGCCACCGCTTTGCCTCCCTTGTTTTAAAAGCCTAGCTCCATCACTGGAAGGGCAGGTATTGAGATCTTCATTTTAATTTTTTTATTAAATGTTATGTCATCTGCAACTTTAGTGACATTTAGATTTAGGAAATTGGTGACTTGTTTAATCTGGTTTTATCCTCTGCATCCATTTGTGTTTTTTTTTGCTTTCATTTCTATTTGTTTTGGACATTTTGAATCTTCTTTTTGGGATTTGTTGGCTGGTTATCTGTATATCTTAAATAGAAGAAGGCAGCATGAATAAAAATACATTAAGGCAATTTGTAAGGAGTTTTTATCAATGCTCTGTGAGGCCGCCTTCATCTTGATATGATCTCCATACAGATGGATGTCTGTTAAATTTCATAATGTCATCATCACACATTCCTTCTTAAACAAGTTAATTTTATTTGATTTGATGGTGAGGAAATAGAACCCTAGACACTATCTATAAATAATATTCTAGTGTCTGAGCTTCAGGTGACCTCCTCTGTGCTGACATTAACTACATAAATAAGCACACATGACACACGGTTGTCATACATTAGCTTTTAGACTGCAAACAGATTGACGGCATGCCTCAGCATCCACTTACCTTCATGAGTGCTGGAGGCTGTGGGCAAGCTGACACTGATCCAACCTAAATATTCCAGCAGCTGGAATGAGTCATGGTGTCCAATAGGATGCACTAACTCAGCTGGACATTCAGTGGAAGGCTAAAAGCACTCTGACTGTGAAAACAAATCTGACTGGTTCGCTCGAGTCAGCTGAAGAAACTCTTGGCTTCTCGTCCTGCTTGCCTGTGTGAGTAACGAACTGCCTCTGTCAGATAGCTTTTAGATAGCTTTGTCATGTTTCAAGGCAAATATTTAAGCACAAATCTGCATCAAGAATCACTTCACCGCCCAAAGCAGAGAAAATCCCGAGGTCAGCAAACAGTGTGGCTGCATGCTCAACACAGAAGATTAGTTTTGACAGTGTTTTCCACTGATTGTAATGAAAACAAATTAGTTTTTGTGGAGAGAGAGGCTGTTAAAGCTCGGCCCCATGAGGGCAGTAAACGGCCTCACATAGCAGAGTATGACAAACTTAATTAAATAAGCTACACAAGTAGATAAATGGGAAGTTTCAACATTCAGCAGTTTGAGAAGGAATCAATGTACCAAATGTCAGCAGGTCAATCAATCAATACATCATTGAACTTTAACCCCATAATGTTAAGTTTAGTGCATTTTAATTGTGGGCCCAAATACAGAACTAAAGAGGCATAGATGATTTCTTGCAAAATTTAATAAAGTAGTAAAAGTTTTTGTTGAACCGATCGACATGAAAGTCAGGGACCAAAAAACTAGGAGACACTAGGGAGGAATAAACCTAAAGAAAGAAAACGCTCCAATAATGAGTAATTGAACAAGAGGTGTATATATGGGAGACAGAAACAATGGGAGGACTGATTAGCTGATAGGGAGCAGGTGGAGACAGAGGTAACTTGAAGGAACTAAGAGAAAAGGAAAGGACATTAGGAGGCAAAAGAGAATAACCAGGGGGAACAACAGGATCTAATTGAACCTAGAAAATAACTTAAATAAGGCTAAAGGGAAATAAAACTAATGACTAGAAAATAGGGAATGATCAAGGGGAAAACTACACGATAAGAGGAGGGACTGAAAACAAATAAGGATAAATAATTAATAGTGAATATGTAGGAAAAGGAAAAATTATGTATATCTAGAGAACACAGAACAAAACAAAGCATACTATAGAAATCCACAAACTAAATGCTTAACAGGTTCAGTGAGTAAAATCACAACATCTAAATATACCTACTTAGGCCAGGCCAACTGCTTACACATCCCTGTGCATATTAGAAACGTAATTATTAAATAAGAATAGATATTTGTATGTGCAAACTTTATGCCCATCTGGTTGTCTAAAATGTCAATTCAATTCAGTTTAGTTCTATAGGGCCAATTCACAACATGTCATCTCAAGGCACTTTACAGAGAGTATTCAACTAGATCATACATTCAAATTCATTCAAAAAGTTCTATTCTAATTTACTCCAAGGCAATCCCTCACACCAAGCATTCTTGTAGCGACAGTGGAGAGGAAAACTCAGGTTTAAAGGGAAGAAATCTCCATTAGTACCAGGCTCAATGAGCGGTCATCTGCTGAGGCCGACTGGGGTTCAAGGAGACAGAAACAGACAGAAAAAGAAGCAGAGATAGAAAAGACAATTGTCAACCAGCTCCACAGGCGGCCCCGTCCAGGAAACACACAGCCAGGCAGACGAGCTCCGAGCCAGCTCCCATGTCAGAGGATGAAGAGAGCACATCCAGTTAGTCACAGTCAGAGAAACAGGACTACACTGGAAAACAGGCCAAGCTCCAACATCTAGAAACAAAGGTGTTGATGGCAGCAGCACAGCTGATATTTCTCTCCAGGATGGAGTCACAGCCAAACAGGAACAGACCAGATGAAGCTACTATGAGAAAAAGCAGAGAGAGCAGAACGTTAGAGATTGAACTAACAGATACAGCAGAGTGGGAGAATAGAGATAGAATGAAGCAGAATGATGAAAATGGGTCCCTATGTCCTCCAGCACCTTAAGCCTATAGCAGCACAAATGCAGAAAATAGCTCAGGATAACCTAAATATTATAGATGAGGTAAAAGCAAGGTAGAGCTAATTCATCAACCCTTGGCTACTGCAGATAAATCTGCCAAAAAAACTGTGTGCGCTTCAATATTTATACTCAACAGACCCACTAAAAACTCTGGAGATTTAAAACGACTTTTAAAATTATTATGCAAGTAAATAAAGGGGTGATGCTAAATGGAGAGAGAACTTTTAATCTGCAAAATGAGAATGAAAAAAATCAAGCAGAAAACAACATATTGTTACTGGTTCTAAATATGTTTCTACAAGATGTTAAGTCCTCTCATTATGTTTTACATTGGTATATATTTAAACAGCACTGAATGCGATAATAAGTAAACTACCATCATTACATATTGAAATATGTTCCAACAGAAAAAATATGTTATTTATTTAATAAATGTATATTTAGCACATTTCTGCCATCATAAATCAGGATCAGGCTCCAGTATTATTTCTTCCCCAAAGAAAATATTTTCAAACTTTCCCCTGGGCAGTTTCAGAGAAAAAGCGAGAACACGGTCATTTTTTTAACCTGTCAAATAAATCAAAACCCGCAAGGGACACAGAGTCAACATGACTGTCAACATAGCAGAGGTGGCGTTATTGTTAGACCTCTGCACAGGATGGATGTTTGTAAACGGATTTGATTTAATTTTCTCTGCCCAGACTTCAGTTATGAATGACAGACCTGTGAATGCAACACAATAACATTTCAAAAGGTAAACATTTACTTAGCACCATGTGAGTTGGAGAAATGAAACAGCTCGCTTTATGAGTAGCAGACATCATATTGTTCTCTCTTTTGGCTCAGCTTAGCTTTGTAATGCACTGTTGCTGTTTTTTTCATGATGCAGAACAGAAGGACAAGAAGTGGACAAGAAGTCTGACCGACAGTGGGATAATTCAAAGTATTTATTTATGTCATAATTTTATCAAGAGTTCGGACCCACATGCAGAGAAACCAATTCAGAGAGACCAGGGAAAAAGGTTTAACAGGTTTTATTGAAGAGATAATGCAGAATGAAGTGTTGCTCTGAACACTGCTCCATCGGAACTGAAAAGTGAGGGGAAGACACAGCGGTTAGTTCAGGCTCAGTGGGAAATTTGATTTGTGAACTTGAAGAGGAGGATTTGGTTGCTGACTCACATTTCCAGAGAAGTTGTTGACTCTTTGACTCCAGTCTGTATTCTGTTGTTCCAGTGTTTGTCGGATTCGGTGGAGGGCGGAACAGGGTTTACCCAGAATGCAGTTGTTTGTAGGTGAACGGAGAAGCTGACTGCCACTCAGATTTCCTGCGGTACTTGAACGGGTTGTAGTGGAGATGAATCCCTTGCTCAGTGTGAAGCTCAAACGATTTCTTGGAGAAAAGTAGATTCAAACCTCCAGTTTAAATCCTTAGCTCAGTTTGAAGCTCAGATTATCCTTCCAGGGAGAGAAGGTCCGAAACATCCAGTTTGCAGGATGACTTTCTGCCGAGAGGCAAAGACAAAAAAGAAGATTAGGACTCAGGTTGACAAGAACTCAGTTTGGCTCAGCAAAACTCAGCTTGGCTAGAGTACCCAAAACTGGCAAACACTCTGGCGTCGAGGTAGTGGCAGTCAGCAACTTAAGAGCGCTCCATTAACGAGGTAACCATCTGCAGGTGTTTGAGGAGGAGGACCAGAACCAGGCGCCGCCTGCTGGAGGAAGGGAGACAAACACAGGAATCCTGACAATTTATAACTAGGAGCGAGCTGATGATCTGTGGTATCAGCAGCTAGGGCGCTAGGTTGGAGAAAAAAACAGATTAGTGACCAAATTAATCTGACGAAGGATGATTATCCATATGAGTCCCTAACCTGGTTTAACAGTTCGGTCCATCTCCATAGAGTGAGGTAGGATCCAGACGGTGGACTGCCAACAAGATGCAGATTCTTCTCAAGAACACACTTGGCGAGAACATAACTCTGTAGTCACGTCTTGTGAATTGAGCCAAATAATTACCTGAACTTCTTAATACTGCTCTGTATGTTGATAAGATTTCTGAGGATCTTCAGCAGCAATACTTTCTTCTCAGATATCAGAATTATAGTCCCCACAATGCAGAGATATTGGATTCTGAGCCAATGTCAGCCAAGCCCATTTACAGAAGGATCGGATAAAACCTTTCAATAAAACAAACATTACCCGCTACATATCTGACTCAATAACCATTTAAAACAACTATTTTTATTTATTTCAGAAAAAAACTATTTAAATACTTGGATTATATTAAACTGCACTTAAAATATTCACCACTGTTCAGCGCCATTTCCGGTTTTTCTCTGGACATGGAGCACCCAGCTTGCTTGGACGCGTAATGAATCATGGGATACCAAAGGCTACGGCGGATACAACAGACCAGTCCTTAAAAATGGGCGATAAAGGATGCAATTGTCGGCCACATAAGGACGAGTCTTCCAACCGAACAGACCTCGGCGCCGCCCTATGATGTAATCGGCCAATGAATCTGGGGTTCTGAAGAAGCAGCAGCTGAATTTGAACTGAGCAACTGGCTGCGATAGCTTCTGCTTTGTGTAAACATATTCCATGCAGTAGAGAGGTCTTCAGCTGCGCCGATGTTGATATGAAAAGCACATAACATGCTATCAGTTTAGAAAACATTTTAAAATAATCTTTTTACCAGAGAAAAGCATCCACAGCATCCTTTGCAGTGGTTAATTCACTGTAGGCTGCTTCAAAAACAGCCGTTATCGGGTCACATTTGGTCAAAGTGACTCATTAAGATGCAGAATTAATCAATTATAAAATAACTTTTATTTATATCATAACTCTTTTTTTGCTACCTGCCTGCTTTCATTCATATACTTGTATTAACACCAGAGAAATAATACAGATTTATTCTTTCCCCATAAAACAAATTTGAAATCTTATACAGAAATTATCATTTTACTGGAGGTTTGCTGAGATTTCCCATCTGACAGCTTAATGTGGGTGAAATCAGCACGTGTTGTGTGACTAGCCTGCTCTGTGACTGGAGGCAGGGTTA